CTTCCATTTCCCATTCTACCTCTTCGTCTTTTTCTTCCTCCGTGTTTTAAAATTCTTCTTCTTCTTTCTCATCGTCTTTTTCTTTTTCCTTTTTTTTCCTTCTCTTCCCATTCTTCCTCTTCGTCTTTTTCTTTCTCCTTTTTCCTTTTTTCATTTCCCCTTCTTCTTCGTCTTTTCTTACCACCATTTCTTTTTCGTCTTCCCTTTTTCTTCGTATTTTTCTTCCTTCTCTTCTTTTTCTTCTTCCACATCCAGTTCTTCCTCTTCATTTTTTTCTCCATCTATTTTCTTCTTTATCTTGCCCTTCTTCCACTTCGCCTTTTTCCTCTTCGTGTTTCTCATCTACCTCTTCTTTTTCTTCTTCCTCTTCCCTTTCTTTCCCCTCGTCTTTTTCTTCCACCTTTTTCTTCTTTGACTTTCTCTTTTTATCTTCATATATTTCTTCCTCCTTTTTTTCGACTTCCCCTTCTTTCTCTACGTTTTTTCCCTCTTCTTTTTCTTCTTCCGTTTCCCTTTCGTCCTCTTCGTTTTTTTCCTCCTCTTGTTTTTTTTTTTCCATTTCCCCTCCTTCATCTTTGTCTTTTTCTTCCTCCTTTTTCTTCTTTCTCTTCCCCTCCTTTCTCTTCGTCTTTTTGTTCCCCCTCATCTTTTTCTGCTTCCACTTCCTATTCTTTCTCTTCGTCTTTTTCTTCCTCCTCCTCCTCTTTTTCATCTTCCCCCTCTCATTACTTCTTCTATACAAGTAATGCCTACTGCGTCATTCACTTTAACTCTATCGTTATAAAAATATATTTTACTAATGTTCATTCCTTTTTATTTTTGTATGAATATTACTCATTTTTTTCTCTATTTGGATTGGATTATTTTGTTTTACGGCAAATAAACACCTCAAAGGGTTATTTAATGATTTTAGGATAGGTTCGTATGAATTATATTTTTATTTAGAATATGTGTGGTACGCAACTGTCCGGGACGCGAATGTCCAGTACGCAACTATCCTAAAATAGGTATATATGTCAATGAATATTGCCTCTTACTATGTAAAGCTCTACCACGTATGGCTCTTGGGCCTTGTACAGAGTGAACATTATTGTAAAAAGAAGTGTTTTGAAAACCTAGAGAAAAAAATGAGTTCTTTTTATAGTTCAAATCCAGAAGCAGTGTATTTGAAATAAGCGTGACAATTTAACAATCCAACTAAATGGTGTGTTGATTTAAACATACATGGCGAAAATGAAATTAAAACGGAGCCTCACAATTGGTCATGATATTTTCATTACATGTTTGACGTTGATCACCTGATATATACGCAATAATACCAACCATGACTCAATTTGTAAAATACCTAGTTAAAAATGAATGAAAAGAACACTCCTTTTTATTCCCAAAGATATTTTCACCCTCTTTTACTTCTGCTTCTTTTTTTCTTCTTCCTATACGTCTTTTCCCCTCCTTTTACTTCTTCCACTTCCCTTTATTTATCGTCGTCTTTTTCTTCCTCCTCTCCTTTCACTACTTCCCTTTCCCCTTCTTCCTCTTCGTTTTTTCTTCCTCCTCTCCTTTCACTACTTCCCTTTCCCCTTCTTCCTCTTCGTCTTTTTCTTCCACCTCTTTTTTCTTCTTCCCCCTCACCTTCTTCCTCTTCGTCTTTTTCTTCCACTTCCTCTTCTTTATCTTCGTCTTTTTTTTCCCACTGTTTCTTCTTCCTCTTCCCGTTCTTTCTCTTCGTCTTTTTTCCTCTTCGTCTTTTTTCCTCTTTTTTCTTCTTCCACTTCTCCCCCATTTTCTTTTTCTTCTTCCACTTCCTATTCTTCACCTTCGTCTTTTTCTTTCTCCTTTTTCTTCTTCCTCTTCCCTTTCTTACTCTTCGTCTTTTTCTTCCTCCTCTCCTTTTTCTTCTTCCATTTCCTCTTCGTCCTTTTCTTCCTCCTGTTTCTTCTTCCTCTTCCCCTTCTTTCTCTTCGTCTTTTTCTTCCTCCCTTTTTTCCATCCACTTCTTTCTCGTCGTATTTTTCTTCCCCTTCTCCTTTTTCTTCTTCTGCTTCCCCTTCTTCCTCTTTTTTCCTCTTCTTTTTCTTCTTTCCCTCCCCCTTCTCCTTCTTCGTCCTTTTCTTCCACCTCTCCGTTTTGAGTTTAACAACTTTAACAAAATAATTTAATAATAATCATGAATATGGACACAGGTCGTTATTTAAGGAAAAATGAGAAGATTTGAACGTGGCAACTTTTTCCATTTCATTGAAACAGACGTCAAACACTTTCTTTCATTCATTCTTTCTTATAGAATTATAAGACAGATACACAAAATGTGCCATGCTATGGAGTGGAGCCTAAAATTTAGTCTCTTTTAATAACTTGATTATATGTACCACGAACCCTGTTGAATGGGTGGGGCATGGTGAGGCCCTGAAACTGACAATAGACCTCAACGGAATGCCAACAAGAGATTCTTGGATGGACCGCGCATCTCGATTGCTATGTCTTACCGATTCTCTTATATAGCAGTGAAGAAGATCAAATATCTGGGAAGTATTTTCAAAGAGGACGGGAAATGTAACCACGAGATCTGAACAGGCAATTAGGCTAGCGAAAGGAGGATTCCAAATGTTAAGCAAGGTGCTGAGTATCAGAATGATTTCTTCAAAAAGAGAGAAGAGAGTGCTTTATTGCCATGTGATATCCATTCTCTGATATGGCATTGAACGTTCGACAATGTCATCACGGATGAGAAGAAAACTAGAGGCAACAGAAATGGGATTCTATAGAAGGATACTGAGAATTTCATGAACATAGAGAGTCAGCAACAAAGATGACTTAAAGAGAATCTATCTATCTATCTATCTATCTATCTATCTATCTATCTATCTATCTATCTATCTATGTCTATTTATTTATAAATCCAGAATTAATTATGCATTTCTACACTTGATGCTCTGCGTCCATCATTTGTTTTGGTGAAGTCATGCAAGGGCGAAAATTTAAAATTTGTACTCAAAGTTATTAAGCAGTACAAACTAAAATAATAGATCGCAAAAGTAAGTATGTTTCTCTAAAAAGCGTATGAAGATGCGATACATGAAAAACAAAAAACAAAGAAAACAACAAATAACAAACGACCTGTGTCCAACAGAATCACGACGACGTGACAATCGGAAGACCAAAGTAACACATAGAACCCATCAAGCCACAAAAATTCTATTAATACCACATTTCTGTAATTGTGGTAGATCAATTACGACTGAACAGAGATTACGTTAGTATTGGGTGACCAATACATTCGAACTCTTTTTCTTTCATCTTTTCTTTTTCTTCTTCCATTTCCCCTTCTTTCACTTCGTCTTTTTCTTTCTCTTTTTTCTTCCTTCTCTTCCCATTCTTCCTCTTCGTATTTTTCTTCCTTCTCTTCTTTTTCTTTTCCCACTTCCCCTTCCACTTCGTCTTTCTTTACCACCTCTTCTTTTTCGTCTTACCCTTCACTTTTTCTCTTCGTATTTTTCTTCCTCTTCGTCTTTTTCTTCATCCTTTTTCTTCTTTATCTTCCGCTTCTGCCACTTCGTCTTTTTCTTCATCCTCTACTTTTTCTTCTTCCTCTTCCCCTTCTTTTTCTTCGTCTTTTTCTTCATCCTCTCCTTTTTCTTCTTCCACTTTCCTTACTTCACCTTCATCTTTTCTTAACTCTCTGTTTTTCTTCTTCCATTTCCCATTCTTCCTCTTCGTCTTTTTCTTCCTCCGTGTTTTAAAATTCTTCTCCTTCTTCCTCTTCATCTTTTTCTTTCTCCTTTTTCCTTTTCTATCGAAGTTTTTTTTTTTTAAGCGTTTCACCCCAAGCACAGCGGTAAGCCACTAGCACGCAAGGGGTTACAGAGATTTGGGGCAAGAGCAAATAGGAGTGATAGACACTGAGAATTTCATGAACATAGAGAGTCTGCAACAAAGAAGTCTTAAAGATAATCTGTCTATCTATCTATCTATCTATCTATCTATCTATCTATCTATCTATCTATCTATCTATGTCTATTTGTTCATATTTATCGATGTATCGATATCTATGTATCTATCTGTTTATATGTATCTATGTCTTTTTGTTCATATCTATCTATCTATCTATCTATCTATCTATCTATCTATCTATCTATCTATCTGTTCATATCTATCTATCTATCTATCTCTCCTCTCTCTCTCTCCCTCTCTCTCTCTCTCTATATATATATATATATATAATTGATGTTAATTATGGATGTGCATCGTGGTAGGATGGATATTGACTTGGAATGAGAAATTGGACAGTCGACTTCGAATTCCGGATTCGTTACATTCATCTACGCTCAAATTACCTTGGGAATGATATGAATCCATTTTCCCCCTCCTCAAGACAGACTGTGTCCTATAGCCTTAGTTAGCAAACAATCTACTTCAGAAAGAAACGGCAACCTATTGCGGTAAAATCTTCTGCCTCATGAGTCATGAATCGAAAGAGACATGATCGCCAAGAATGTATCACGTTTGGAATTTAACTGACTGATTAATTATAAGAATAAAAATCTCGTATTAATTATAGGTTTGCGTAAAATAGAATTGTTTTAATCATAAGTTTATACAAATCCAGAATTAATTAATCATTTCTACACTTTATGCTTAATGACCGCCATTTGTTGTGGCGCAGTCAAGAAAGGGGGGTTAATTTGAAATATGCATTCAAAAATGTAATAGATTTCAAAAGGAAGTAAGTTTCCCTAAAAAGCGTATGAAGGTGGTGTGATATATGAAAAAAAAGACCCCCCCCAAAAAAAACAAGAACAACAAAAAACAAAAAAACGTAAACAAAACAACAAAAATATGACCTGTGCCCACCAAAGCATGACGACGTGACGATCCAATCATCAAAGAAACATAAGAACTCATGAAGCCACAAAAATTCTATTAATGCTCCATTTCACTTGTTGTGGTTGGCTGTTATGTTTTAGGTGAAATCGACTGGATCCCTTTACGTTGAATGTGTTATGTTTCACCGAGGAGATGAACACGAAAACGACACACTTTTCCCACAAGCGACGCATGTGAGCTGACCTTGAATGGTAGTAGAAAAAGAATCAGTCAGATCAACCAGTCGCCATTTTATCTCTTCTTAAGCTCTTTCCTAATAGAAATCTAACAGTCCAGGGCTGATCGGAGGTGTGGCGTAATAGTTGGCAAACGTGTCCCACTAGATCATTTTTAGACTAAGTAAAGATTTTTATTCTTACTGGATGCTTCACACCTTCAGCCTTGTGCTACATCTGAGCTCCGTTTAGAAAATCAATATTGGGTACTTCGGAGTTTTTTTTTTTTTTTTAAGCTTTTCACCCCAAGCAAAGCATGCAAGGGGTTACAGAGAGTTGGGGCAAGAGCAAATAGGAGTGATAGAGGAAAGGATGAAGAGAAGGATAGGGGATAGATCAGGGCATCTGGAGACGTCGATTGACATTACATTTAAATAGTTGAAGATTATAGCTATCAGGGAAACAGGAAAAGGGGAGGGAGTTCCACAGGCGAGAAGTTAGACACATGAAGCTATTGGAGTAGAAGAGACGGCTGCATTTACGTTTCGACAGTGAAAAGGTGAGAGCGAGATGCCAGCCTAGTTGAACGCTTAAATTCATGAAACGAAAGCAGCTCATCGGGGCAGTTACCGTGAAAGTATTTGTAAAAAAGACAGAGGGAGGCGACGGCACGTCTGTGAGAGAAGTGGTGTAATTGTTAGAAAGCTTGTCTCACCAGATCAATTACGACGGTATAGTGAGTTCGATTCACACTGGTTGATCAATACATTCGACATTGTGCGTCATCTATGCTACGCTTAGAAAATAAATTGAGCACTTCGGTGGTGTAATTATTACAAAGCTTTTCCCTCTGTCTCAATTACGACTGAATGTTGTGTTTGATCCTCACCGGGTGACCAATATATTCGACCTTATGCCATATCTAAGCTAGAGAAAAAATTCTGGCGCTTCGACGTAGTGTAGGGGTTCGCAGGCTGGTTTCATTTGATCAATTGCGACTGAATAGTGAGTTCGATCCTCGCTGGATGACCAATACATTCGGTCTTGAGCTACGTTTTGAAAATCGATTTTGGCCATTTCGACGTGCTGTAATGGTTAGAAAGCTGGTCTCACTATATCAATTACGATGGAATAGTGAGTTCGATCCTCACTGGTTGACCAATATATACGGTCTTGCGCCACATCTAATCTACATTTTCTTTTTTCACTTCCCCTTCCACTTCGTCTTTCTTTACCACCTCTTCTTTTTCGTCTTCCCCTTCACTTTTTCTCTTCGTATTTTTCTTCCTCTTCGTCTTTTTCTTCATCCTTTTTCTTCTTTATCTTCTGCTTCTTCCACTTCGTCTTTTTCTTCATCCTTTTTCCTTTTCTCTTCCCTTCTTCCTCTTCGTTTTTTTCTTCCTCCTCTTCGTTTTCTTCTACCCCTTCCGCTTCGTGTTTCTCATCCACCTCTTCTTTTTCTTTTTATCCTTCCCATTCTTACTCTTTCTCCTTTTTTTCGTCCATTTTCTCTTCTCTTCTTCATATTCGTCTTTTTCTTCCTCCTTTTTCTTCTTCTTCTTTCTCTTCGTCTTTTTCTTCGACCTCTCCTTTTTCTTCTTCCACTTTCCTTACTTCATCTTTTCTTAACTCTTTGTTTTTCTTCTTCCATTTCCCATTCTTCCTCTTCGTCTTTTTCTTCTTCTTGTTTTAAAATTTTTCTCCTTCTTCCTCTTCGTCTTTTTCTTTTTCCTTTTTTCACTTCCCCTCCTTCTTCGTCTTTCTTTACCACCATTTCTTTTTCGTCTTCCCCTTCACTTTTTCTCTTCGTATTTTTCTTCCTCTTCGTCTTTTTCTTCATCCTTTTTCTTCTTTATCTTTCGCTTCTGCCACTTCGTTTTTTTCTTCATCCTCCCTTTTCTTCATCCTCCCCTTTTTCTTATTCCTCTTCCCCTTCTTTTTCTTCGTCTTTTTCTTCGACCTCTCCTTTTTCTTCTTCCACTTTTCTTACTTCATCTTCATCTTTTCTTAACTCTCTGTTTTTCTTCTTCCATTTCCCATTCTTCCTCTTCGTCTTTTTCTTTCTCCTTTTTTCATTTCCCCTTCTTCTTCGTCTTTCCTTACCACCATTTCTTTTTTCGTCTTCCCCTTCCCCTTTTTCTTCGTATTTTTCTTCCTTCTCTTCTTCCACAAAGTTCTTCCTCTTCATTTTTTTCTTCATCTATTTTCTTCTTTATCTTGCCCTTCTTTCACTTCGTCTTTTTCTCCCTCTTCTTTTTCCTCTTCCACTTCGCCTTTTTCCTCTTCGTGTTTCTCATCTATCTCTTCTTTTTCTTCTTCCTCTTCCTCTTCTTTCTCCTCGTCTTTTTCTTCCTTCTTTTTCTTCTTCCCCTCCCCCTTGTCCCTCGTCGCATTTTTCTTCCTGCTCTTCTTTTTCTTCTCCCACTTCCTCTTCTTCTTTTTCTTCGTCTTTTTCTTCCTCCTTTTTCTTCTTTTACTTTCTCTTTTTATCTTCATATATTTCTTCCCCCTTTTCTTCGACTTCCCCTTTTTTCTCTACGTTTTTTCTCCCTCTTCTTTTTCTTTTTCCGCTTCCCTTTCGTCCTCTTCGTTCTTTTCCTCCTCTTGTTTTTCTTTTTCCATTTCCCCTCCTTCATCTTTGTCTTTTTCTTCCTCCTTTTCTTCTTTCTCTTCCCCTCCTTTCTCTTCGTCTTTTTGTTCCCCCTCATCTTTTTCTGCTTCCACTTCCTATTCTTTCTCTTCGTCTTTTTCTTCCTCCTCCTCCTCTTTTTCATCTTCCCCCTCTCATTACTTCTTCTATACAAGTAATACCTACAGCGTCATTCACTTTAACTCTATCGTTATAAAAAATATATTTTACTAATGTTCATTCGTTTTTATTTTTGTATGAATATTACTCATTTTTTTCTCTATTTGGATTGGATTATTTTGTTTTACGGCAAATAAACACCTCAAAGGGTTATTTAATGATTTTAGGATAGGTTCGTATGAATTATATTTTTATTTAGAATATGTGTGGTACGCAACTGTCCGGGACGCGAATGTCCAGTACGCAACTATCCTGAAATAGGTATATATGTCCATGAACATTGCCTCTTACTCTGTAAACCTCTACCATGTATGGCTCTTGGGCCTTGTACAGAATGAACATTATTGTAAAAAGAAGTGTTTTGGAAACCTATAGAAAAAATGAGATTTTTTTATTGTTCTAATCCAGAAGCAGTGTATTTGAAATAAGCGTGACAATTTAATATTCCAACTAAATGGTGTGTTGATTTAAGCATGACGCAGATGAAATTAAAAAAATATTGACAAAGAACCCCACCACTAAAAAAAACAAACAAAAAAGCAACAAAAAGCATTAAAACGAAGCCTAACAATTGGTCATGATATTTTCCTTACATGTTTGACGTTGATCACCTGATATATACACAATATCAACCATGACTAAATATGTAAAATACTTAGTTAAAAAATGAATCAAAAGAACACTCCTTTTTATTCCCAAAGATATTTTCACCCTCTTTTACTTCCGCTTCTTTTTTTTCTTTTTCCTATTCGTCTTTTTTCCTCCTTTTTCTTCTTCCTCTTCCCTTACTTTATCGTCGTCTTTTTCTTCCTCCTTCCTTTTACTGCTTCCCCTTCCCCTTCCTCTTCGTCTTTTTCTTCCACCTCTTCTTTTTCTTCTTCCTCCTCACCTTCTTCCTCTTCGTCCTTTTCTTCCTCCTTTTTCTTCTTGCGCTTCTTCTTTTTCCTTTTCGTCTTTTTTTTCCTCCTTTTTCTTCTTTTAATTCCCCTTCTTTCTCTTCGTATATTTTTCCTCCTCTTCTTTTTTCCCACTTCCCCTACTTGCTGTTCGTTTTTTTCTTACTCTTTTTTCTTCTTTCTCTTCCCGTTCTTTCTCTTCCCGTTCTTTCTCTTTGTCTTTTTCTTCCCATTTCCCCTTCCTCTTCGTCTTTTTCTTCCTTCTCTTCGTTTACATCTCCCCCTCTCATTACTTCTTCTATAAATGTAATGCCTATTGCGTCTTCCATTTTAACTCTTTTAAATCTTTATAAAAATATATATTTTACTAACTCATGTTCATTCGTTTTCTTGGTATGAATATTGCGCATTGTTTCTGTCTATTTGGTTTGGATTATTTTGTTTTACGGGACATAAACATCTCAAAGGGTTATTTAATATCAACATGATTTTAGGATAGGTTCTTATAAATAGAATATGTATTATTTCTAAGAATTCAATTTGCAGATCGGCTTTTATTAACCTATTTTGGTGAAGGGTTTTTTTTTATCGAGAGTCAATGTATTGCTGTTGATTTTTTTTAAAGATGTATTGTTGGTAATATTTTTTCATAAATGTATTGCAGGTATTTCTACTATAAAAATCTATTTTAATTACTTTCATAGTGTTTTGACTCCAGTTTGAGGGTAACTATTTTCCCATAGACGAGGCACTAACAGGTGCTACCTCGCCGGGTCAGCGTGGACGTAGGAACAATAGCAATTAGAAGGTGGTTCAACGCTCCTCAAAACCTCCTGATCAGAGGTCTTGTTGCCATAAGTTCTGTCCGAATTTTGAATAAAGAAAACAAGTGACCAAATGTTACATTTAATTACAGATTCAATCAACAATGTATTTTCCATGATTATCTATGACTTCCTTTGGTCTATTAACAAGCTTTCCATTACTGTAAAGTTCTTTTGGCTTTGATTCGAAGAACTCACAAATGTCAGTTCTAACCTCTTCCTGTGTTAAAAAAGCTGTTACTTCCAAATAATTCTGTAAGTTACTAAACAAATGGTAGTCTGAAGGAGCAAGATCGGGAGAATGAGGTGGATGAGGAATTTTCTCCCAACCAAGTTCTTCGATCTTTTGTGACGTGATTCTTGCCGTGTGGGGTCGCACATTGTCCTGATGAAACATCACCTCTTTTCGATTCACTAGAGCAGGTCTTTTTTTCCTCAAAGCTTGGTTCAAACGCTCTAATTGCTGACAGTATATTTGAGCATTAATTGTTGCATTAGGTGGTAAGAATTCAAAGTGGATTATTCCTTGGCGATCCCACCAGATTGAAAAAAGAACCCTTCTCGGCTGTGGCTGGGGTCCTTGCCCTTTACCAAGCCACTGTCTACGACTCTTAACATTTCGATAAAAGATTCATTTTTCGTCGCCAGTCACAAGTCTAACCAAAAAAGGTGAAACAAGCTGTCTAGAATGGAGAGAAGACTAGATGTCAACTCGGGATTTGAGGTTGTTTTCAGACAATTCATGAGGCACCCATTTTCCAAGTTTAGGAACTTTTCCAAGTTGTTGAAGATGACGATGAACAGTTGTATGGTTTGAACTGAAAACACTGCCAATTCCTCAAATGATAAAGCAGGATTTTCTTCAAGGGCTGCTTCAAGAAGCTTTTCATCAAACTCAACTGGACATCCGGTTCGATCTTCATCTTCAAGGGTGAAATCTCCACCTCTGAATTTTGCAAACCGTCTTCTGCAAGTTCTTTCATTCACACATTCCTCTTCATAAACTGAGTGAATGTTTTTAGCCTCTTCGGCTACTGAGTTTCCTTTCTTGAACTCATAAAGCATTATGTGCCTCAAATGATTCTTGGGTACTTCCATGTTAGCAGTGTTCTAATGAAACAAAATTTAATTTTATTGTTCTCTGAAATAAAATTTGAACAGTTTAAATGCATCTAAACATAAAAATAATGTTCATCTCCATTAGACATTATAAAATACTCTAAATTTCGTTCATTGTAACAAAAAGTTAAAACTCGGACAGGACCTATGGGATCACCAGATAGTTTACTGTCATACCCAGGACGGCATTGTTTCTGTACTAATTTAGAAAGATTAAACGAAAATAGCTCTGACCTATGTAAAATGCATATTATTATTATTATTATTATTTTCAATCGGTTTCACCCCATGCAAAGCATTAAAGCCACTAAGATACAAGGCATTACTGGGCGTGAAAGAATTAAATACAGAAACATTACTTAGGAGCAAGAACAAAAGAAGAGTAATCAGGACAGTAGATAGCGGTTGGCATTGCATTTAAAATTTTGCAGATTGATATATCCCGGAAAGGGATATATTTGTTCGAAGTAGCAAAGTCGTTGCTGACTACTGTAACCAGGTCGGACAATCTAGCAGGTGACCGTAATGGACTGGTCCTCGTCGTAGTGGTAGACAATAGGCTTAGGCAATAGGCGAAGACAATAGGCGTAATCCCTGTACCTCCACATCAGTCTGTATTTATGGCTGACACCAGCCAATCATATTACTGTGAGGGGGAACCCAGGTGTATGCATATTCATTACATCACAGATTAAAGTTGGCTGGAAAGCATGGAGCCGGAAGGGACTTCTACAAGTGAGAAGTGTGAGAAAAGAAATTGTTAGCATATAATTTACGGTTACATCGAGCCATCTCACCTGTAAACTGATAAGATCTCAACACCAGTACTGCGCTTAAATTCATAAAGGTCTAGGTACCATAGCGAAAAGCTCACCCGAACAATTACCATGAAAGTATTTATAGAAAAGATACAGAGAAGCAACCTTGTGGCGGTGGGAAAGTGTTTGAAGCCGAGCCGCCAGATCAGGGCCAATAATATTGCTGATTCTTCTTTGGATTTTATCAAGCACCTCAAGGTAAATAGCAGGAGCATTGGATTATATGTGGTAGCAATATTCTAAGCATGGACGAATGGTAGACCTATAGATATGTGTGATAGATTCTGGAGTTAAATTAAACGTAAATTTCATTATCCATTTCTAATATTTTTCCTCTTTATTTTCACTTTTTCACATCTGACATCAAGCACTGTAAGTTGTCGATTTCAGGCACACATTTTATAGTGGTGCTTAATCTTTGCATCATATGGGATGCACAGGTCATATGATTTCAACGTCCTTGTATCATATGTGGTGCACACGAGCCATGATTTTAAAAGAGGTGTAAACCTAAGGACTCTTAAGAAAGGAGATTACTATTGAGGAGGACATCTGAGGAAAGGCCTAATCTAATATTTTGTGCATCATATATGACAACAGGATGCTTGCCTAATTTCGGATTTAAAACTATTGCAACTCAGCTTATTTGGCAAATAGAATGTGCTGATATAGTGTTTCACGTAATGAAACATGTGATGCTCAGAGCGTAGTGTAAATAGCTTATTATTTGTACGTTTTTATTATATGAGACACTATATATAAGCACATTCTAAGCTGAGTTGCTTTACAATAGTTATAAATCTGTAAACAAGTATGAACGTTTGGATAGTACACACGAAAATGTCCTGGACAGGCAAAGAGTTAATTTCTGTTTTCTGTGACCCACCAACACACGACAACATAACGATCCAATCATCAAAGCACGACGACGTGACGATCTAATCATCATATGGCAGTGAAGAAGATCAAATATCTGGGAAGTGTTTTCAAAGAGGACGGGAAATGTAACTGCGAGATCTGAACAGGCAATTGGGCTAGCGAAAGGAGGATTCCAAAAGCTAAGCACGGTGCTGAGTATCAGAATGATTTCTTCAGAAAGAAACAAAAGAGTGCTGTATTGCCATGTGATATCCATTCTCTGATATGGCAGTCAACGTTGGAAAATGTCATCACGGATTAGAAGAAAACTTGAGGCAACAGAAATGGGATTCTACAGAAGGACACGGAGAATTTCATGAACATAGAAAGTCTTAAAGAAAATCTATCTATCTATCTATCTATCTATCTATCTATCTATCTATCTATCTATGTCGATTTGTTCATATCTATCTATCTATCTATCTATCTATCTATCTATCTATGTTCATAACTATGTCGATTTGTTCATATCTATCTATCTATCTATCTATCTATCTATGTTCATATCTATGTCGATTTGTTCATATCTATCTATCTATCTATGTCGATTTTTTCATATCTATCTATCTATCTATCTATCTATCTATCTATCTATCTATCTATCTATGTCTATTTGTTTACAAATCCAGAAAAAATTAAGCATTTCTACATTTGATGCTCTGCGTCCATTATTTTTTGGGCTGCAGTTATGCAAGGGCGATAATTTGAAATCTGTACTCAAAGTTGTTAAACAGTACAAACTAAAATAATCGATCTCAAAAGGAAGTATGTTTCTCTAAAAAGCGTATAAAGATGCGATACATGAAAAACAAAAAATAACAAACGACCTGTGACCCACAGAATCACGACGACGTGACAATCGGAAGACCAAAGTAACACATAGAACCCATCAAGCCACAAAAATTCTATTAATACCACATTTTTGTAATTGTGGTTGACTGTTATTTTTTAGGTGAAATCGACTGGATCCCTTTACGTTGAATGTGTTATGTTTCACCGATGAGATGAACACGAAAACGACACACTTTTCCCACAAGCGACGCATGTGAGCTGACCTTGAATGGTAGTAGAAAAAGAATTAGTCAGATCAACCAGTCGCCATTTTTTTAAGCTCTTTCCTAATAGAAATCTAACAGTCCAGGGCTGATCGGAGGTGTGGCGTAATAGTTGGCAAACGTGTCCCACCAGATCATTTTTAGACTAAGTACAGATTTTTTTTCTTACTGGATGCTTCACACCTTCAGCCTTGTGCTACATCTGAGCTGCGTTTAGAAAATATTGGGTACTTCGAAGTTTTTTTTTTTCAAGCGTTTCACCCCAAGCAAGGATGAAAAGAAGGATAGGGGATAGATCTGTGCATCTGGAGATTGCGATTGACATTACATATAAATAGTTGAAGATTATAGCTATCATGGAAACAGGAAGAGGGGAGAGAGTTCCATAGGCGAGAGGTCCGAAGCATGAAGCTATTGGTGTAGAAGAGACGGCTACATTTACGTTTCGACAGTGAAAGTGAGCGAGATGCTAGCCTAGTTTAACGTTTAAATTCATGAAGTTTGGGAACCAGTGAAAGCAGCTCCTCGGAGCAGTTACCGTGAAAGTATTTGTAAAAAAGACAGAGGGAGGCGACGGCATGTCTGTGAGAGAACGACTGCAGACGAGATGCCATATCAGGGCCAATTACATGGCATATCCGTCTCTGGATCTTATCAAGAACCTTGAGAGAAACAGAAGGGGCACCGGTCCATATGCAAGGGCGAATCGTTGATTTGTAGATTTGAAGGATCGACTCCGGCGAGAATAAAACTTTCCTTGCGGTGGACGAAGCTATTATGTATTTGTTCCATCTCAGGTCAGCATGAGTGACTAGCGATGGACAATACGTTCAGTGACATGTTTTTTAATAATTTTTGTAAATAAAACATTATTTTTCATGAAAAATCATCGAGAACTTATTCAAGATCCTAATAAATGCAATCAACTAGATTATATACCCAAAACACATATTAAAAAACCCCAAAAAAAACAAAAACAAAAAAAAAACTATAATCACACCCCTGTCCTTCATGCTCATGTGTAATCATATCAACGTAAACATCACTCTAGTTCGATAAAGTCCTAAACGACGAACCGCGTCACATGAAAAACATTTTCCCACTTTGTCATAGATTTGGTTAAAATTTTTTTTGATATAAAAAATGTATGAATTTTGGTATATAAAATATATACATTTTGATATATAATGTATACATTTTGATATATAAAATGTATAAATTTTGATATATAAATGTATAAAAATGTATTTATCGTTTTAACAGCCAGTCCTCCGAGCCCCAAACGATCAATGTAAGCGTCCCCAAGGGGTCGCTTCTTGGCCCAACCCTCTTCCTATTTTCAATAAATGCCCCGCCTAAGAGAATACTTCGAGCATTTGTGAATATCTATGCTAATGATACAACGTTATACAGGTGTACCTCCAAAACTCTAGGTGATCAGAGATTGGTAATTGACATAACTTTAACAAATCTGTTTGGGAAAAACTGACTGATCACATTCAATGATTCTAAAACCAAACTAGTGCTATTCTACCATTCCTGGTCAGAATTTTCGCCAATCGCCATGAACGGAGCTTCCCTTAGGGAGTCTCGGTTCCATGGGCGCCTATTAGGCCAAATTCAGCCTAGACCTCAAGTGGAACTCTTATATACGATCTATCATTAAAAATACTGGGAAAAAAATGATTGTCTCCCTGTACCGCTCCAACAAGTACCTAACTATCTTCTACCTTTCCAAGAGCCAAATCAGACCGAAAATGGAGTGCGCTGTCTTCGATAGCGTCCAAAAGCGTTTCCGCGTCCTTGTAGGTGATGAATTATTTTATACCCGGCTGCTTTTTCTCTCATAGACGAGACGTCGAAAACCCCTCGCTGCTCTATTGTTATTTCAATGGAGAGTGTTTAGATGAACTACAATCTTTAATTCCACCAATCCTAACCTTGATATCTAAGACCCACCATACCAAGCCCATTGCAGCGATCCACCCTCATTCCCTTCGCATTCCTTTAGTGAGATGTATTTTCTTCTTGAGCAGCTTCCTACTACGAACCACTGCTTTGTGGAAAAGAGTTTCAAGAGTACGCTTACCTGATCGCTACAATCTTAACCTGTTCAAGTCTAGGGTTAACCGTTATCGCCCACGCATAACCGCATAAAATGTGTCTCTGACTATGTAACCTTTTACAATAGTGACACTTCAATTTTCACTATCATTGTGAAAAAAAAAGAAAGAAAAAAGAAAATCCTGAGTCTGAACGGTTACAATGAAACGTCACGAGTTTATTTTTTGAGGCACTCCTTGTATCAAAGATACATTCAGTAATTATTTTTATAATAAATAATAAAAACGTTAACGTGTCTCACCTTAACTTTTTTAATTTTTCATATTCATTTATTAAGATGTTTATATTATTAAGACTTTTATTTTATTAAGATGTTTATTTTATTAAGATGTTTATTTTATTAAGACGTTTATTTTATTAAGATGTTTATTAAGATGTTTATTTTATTAAGATTTTATTTTATTAAGACTTTTATTTTATTAAGGTGTCTATTTTATTAAGACTTTTATTTTATTAAGATGTTTATATTATTAAGACGTTTATTTTATTAAGATGTTTATTTTATTAAGACATTTATTAAGATGTTTATTTTATTAAGATTTTATTTTATTAAGACTTTTATTTTATTAAGGTGTCTATTTTAATTAAGACATTCATTTTATTAAGATGTTTATTTTATTAAGACGTTTATTTTATTAAGATGTTTATTTTATTAAGACTTTTATTAAGATGTTTATTTTACTAAGATTTTATTTTATTAAGGCTTTTATTTTATTAAGATGTTTATTTTATTAAGATGTGTAGCGGGCCCCCGAGCGGCCCCGTATTTCACAAGGGTGAATGAGGTCACATGAGGCCCGCTAACATTTTTGAAGACGTTAAATCTGACGGTGAAACATCATGGACGACAGAACGAGGATATGTATGATATATGGAAGTTTATTCTAGAAAAGAAAAGGAAATAAAGATGGTCGGAACGGTGGAGGTACAGAAGTTCTAGTGCAGGCATTGATGGTCGAGGTTGGTAGTTGCTAGGATCATCGTTGTTGGTTGTTGGGGTTGAAGCTGATGTGGGTTGTTGCCAGGATCACCGCTGTTGATTGTTGAAGTTGATTGTTGCCGGGATGATCGCTGTCGGTTGTTGAAGTTGATTGTTGGTTGCTGGCAGGATCATCACTGTTGATTGTCGAAGTTGATTGTTGCCGGGATGATCGCTGTTGGTGAAGCTGGTCATTGCCGGGGTGATCGCTGTTGTTGAAGCTGGTCTTTGCCGGGGTGATCGCTGTTGGTTGTTGCAGTTGGAGTTGATGTTCGTTGTTGCCAGGATGATCGCTGTTGGTTGTTGAAGTTGATGTTGGTTGTTGCCAGGATGATCGTTGTTGGTTGTTGAAGTTGATGTTGGCTGTTGACAGGATGATCATTGTTGGTTGTTGAAGTTGATGTTGGCTGTTGCCAGGATGATCACTGTTGGTTGTTGAAGTTGATGTTGGCTGTTTCCAGGATGATCATTGTTGGTTGTTGAAGTTGATGTTGGCTGTTGCCAGGATGATCACTGTTGGTTGTTGTAGTTGGTCGTTGCCGGGTTGCCAACTTAACGTGTTGGGAAGGAAAGAAGAGCTGGCGTTGTTCGGGCATGTCACAGGTCCAGCGCAGGCGTTGCGTGTTTGCCGGTCGAGTCCGATATTAGTAACCTCCCATAATAATTACTAACATAATGTACGGGAAAGGTTAAGGACGACGTGCGGGTAGCCAGTAGGGACGGAATGCCGATAGTCAAACAGGAGCCAGGAGTAGTAGGCAAAGGAGAGAGAGAAGGAAAGTTCCCAACTATCGTCAAGTTGGCAGACAAAAAAAATGGGAGCGTAACTCAATACACAGCCTGTTGATCGACGACCCTGGCCGCGAAGGCCAGGGCCTACGTATCCGACCGTTTCAGTCACCGACCACCTCATATGTCTCATATGTCTTTTCCTTTTTCCTTCTTTCCAAGCGATCATAATGGAATAGTCCATTATTTATGAGGTATTGCCAGGATATATTAAAAAATCACTCATATGTCTTTTCCTTTTTCCTTCTTTCCAAGAGATCATAATGGAATAATCCATTATTTATGAGGTATTGCCAGGATATATTAAAAAATCACTCATATGTCTTTTCCTTTTTCCTTCTTTCCAAGCGATCATAATGAAATAGTCCATTATTTATGAGGTATTGCCAGGATATATTAAAAAATCACTCATATGTCTTTTCCTTTTTCCTTCTTTCCAAGCGATCATAATGGAATAGTCCATTATTTATGAGGTATTGGTAACGTACGTGCTAAGTGGGGGGCGGTGACACGTAGAATTATAATAAGACGGACACAATCAACGACCCATTTATGGATTATGGAGTGAAGCCTGAAGTTTAGTTTGAGATAATATTAATAGTTTGAGATAATTTTAATAATTTAATTATATGTACCACGAACCTTGTTCAGTGGGTGGTGCATGGTGAGGCCCTGAAATTGACAATAGGCCTCAACGGAATGCCCACAGGAGACTTTTGGATTGACCGTGCATCTCGATTGCTATGTCTTACCGATTCTCTTATATGGCAGTGAAGAAGATCAAATATCTGGGAAGTATTTTCAAAGAGGACGGGAAATGTAACCACAAGATCTGAATAGGCAATTGGGCTAGCGAAAGGAGGATTCTAAATGTTAAGCACGGTGCTGAGTATCAGAATGATTTCTTCAGAAAGAAACAAAAGAGTGCTGTATTGCCATGTGATATCCATTCTCTGATATGTCAGTGAACGTTGGACAATGTCATCACGGATGAGAAGAAAACTAGAGGCAACAGAAATGGGATTCTACAGAAGGATACTGAGAATTTCATGAACATAGAGAGTCAGCAACAAAGAAGTCTTAAAGAAAATCTATCTATGTTAATATCTATGTCGATTTGTTCATATCTATCTATCTATCTATCTATCTATCTATCTATCTATCTATCTATCTATCTATCTATCTATGTTTATTTGTCCATATCTATCTATCTATCTATCTATCTATCTATCTATGTCTATTTATTTAAAAATCCAGAATTAATTATGCATTTCTACATTTGATGCTCTGCGTCCATTATTTTTTGGGGTGCAGTTATGCAAGGGCGAAAATTTGAAATCTGTATTCAGTTTTTAAACAGTACAAACTAAAATGATCGATCTCAAAAGGAAGTATGTTTCTCTAAAAAGCGTATGAAGATGCGATACATGATGACCCCCAAAAAAAAAACAACAACAAAAAAACGACCTGTGATCCACAGAATCACGACGACGTGACAATCGGAAGACCAAAGAAACACATTGAACCCATCAAGCCACAAAAATTCTATTAATGTCCCATGTCACTAGTTGTGGTTGACTGTTATTTTTTTAGGTGAAATCGACTGGATCCCTTCACGTTGAATGTGTTATGTTTCACCGATGAGATGAACACGAAAACGACACACTTTTTCCACAAGCGACGCATGTGAGATGACCTTGAATGGTAGTAGAAAAAGAATCAGTCAGATCAACCAGTCGCCATTTTATCTCTTCTTAAGCTCTTTCCTAATAGAAATCTAACAGTCCAGGGCTGATCGGAGGTGTGGCGTAATAGTTGGCAAACGTGTCCCACCAGATCATTTTTAGACTAAGTACAGATTTCTATTCTTACTGGATGCTTCACACCTTCAGTCTTGTGCTACATCTGGGCTGCGTTTAGAAAATCAATATTGGGTACTTCGAAGTTTTTTTTTTTAAGCGTTTCACCCCAAGCAAGGATGAAAAGAAGGATAGGGGATAGATCAAGGCATCTGGAGACGTCGATTGACATTACATTTGAATAGTTGAAGATTATAGCTATCATGGAAACAGGAAGAGGGGAAGGAGTTCCACAGGCGAGATGTCCGAGACATGAAGCTGTTGGTGTAGAAGAGACGGCGACATTTACGTTTCGACAGTGAAAGTGAGCGAGATGCCAGCCTAGTAGAACGCTAAAATTCATGAAGTTTGGGAACCAGTGAAAGCAGCTCCTCGGAGCAGTTACCATGAAAGTATTTGTTTCTTAATAATTTTTGTAAATAAAACATTATTTTTCATGAAAAATCACCGAGAACTTATTCAAGATCCTAATAAATGCAGCTAACTAGATTATATACCCAAAACACATATTAAAAAAAACAACAAAAAAAACTATAATCACACCCCCGTCCTTCATGCTCATGTGTAATCATATCAACGTAAACATCACTCTAGTTCGATAAAGTCCTAAACGACGAACCGCGTCACATGAAAAACATTTTCCCACTTTGTCATATATTTGGTTAAAATTTTTTTTGATATAAAAAATGTATGAATTTTGGTATATAAAATATATACATTTTGATATATAATGTATACATTTTGATATATAAAATGTATAAATTTTGATATATAAAATATATACATTTTGATATATAAATGTATAAAAATGTATTTATCGTTTTAACAGCCAGTCCTCCGAGCCCCAAACGATCAATGTAAGCGTCCCCAAGGGGTCGCTTCTTGGCCCAACCCTCTTCCTACTTTCAATAAATGCCCCGCCTAAGAGAATACTTCGAGCATTTGTGAATATCTATGCTAATGATACAACGTTATACAGGTGTACCTCCAAAACTCTAGGTGATCAGAGATTGGTAATTGACATAACTTTAACAAATCTGTTTGGGAAAACTGACTGATCACATTCAATGATTCTAAAACCAAACTAGTGCTATTCTACCATTCCTGGTCAGAATTTTCGCCAATCGCCATGAACGGAGCTTCCCTTAGGAGTCTCGGTTCCATAAGGCGCCTATTAGGGCCAAATTCAGCCTAGACCTCAAGTGGAACTCTTATATACGATCTATCATTAAAAATACTGGGAAAAAAATGATCGTCTCCTGTACCGCTCCAACAAGTACCTAACTATCTTCTACCTTTCCAAGAGCCAAATCAGACCGAAAATGGGTGCGCTGTCTTCGATAGCGTCCAAAAAGCGTTCCGCGTCCTTGTAGGTGATGAATTATTTTTATACCCGGCTGCTTTTTTCTCTCATAGACGAGACGTCGAAAACCCTCGCTGCTCTATTGTTATTTCAATGGAGTGTTTAGATGAACTACAATCTTTAATTCCACCAATCCTAACCTTGATATCTAAGACCCACCATACCAAGCCCATTGCAGCGATCCACCCTCATTCCCTTCGCATTCCTTTAGTGAGATGTATTTTCTTCTTGAGCAGCTTCCTACTACGAACCACTGCTTTGTGGAAAAGAGTTTCAAGAGTACGCTTACCTGATCGCTACAATCTTAACCTGTTCAAGTCTAGGGTTAACCGTTATCGCCCACGCATAACCGCATAAAATGTGTCTCTGACTATGTAACCTTTTACAATAGTGACACTTCGAATTTTCACTATCATTGTGAAAAAAAGAAAGAAAAGAAAATCCTGAGTCTGAACGGTTACAATGAAACGTCACGAGTTTATTTTTTGAGGCACTCCTTGTATCAAAGATACATTCAGTAATTATTTTTTATAATAAATAATAAAAACGTTAACGTGTCTCACCTTAACTTTTTTTAATTTTCATATTCATTTTATTAAGATGTTTATATTATTAAGACTTTTATTTTATTAAGATGTTTATTTTATTAAGATGTTTATTTTATTAAGACGTTTATTTTATTAAGATGTTTATTAAGATGTTTATTTTATTAAGATTTTATTTTATTAAGACTTTCATTTTATTAAGATGTTGATTTTATTAAGATGCTGCTGTGTATAAAATTAATTAATTTGTTGTGATGACGCTATTTACATTATTCGGGCTATTGTGCTCATCTTGGTTGCCATATTTATCACAACGATTCGGCCGTTGTACGCTCCGGCCTTCTTCAGGTAGTTGGAATGTCGAACTGCACCCTTTATTTATCTCGCTGGAGTAGACTCTTTTGTAGACTGTGCCATGTTTAATGGATGTAAGTTATCAGTTATCTCCTGTTAATTCACCTCTCCAACTTCTCCACTGCGTTAACCAGGCATTGAACTCACAACTTTTTGGGTCCTGTCACTGGATCTAACCAACACCTTTATCCACTGTGCCATGTGTCAAGGAAATATAGACAGATATTGTTGTGATAATCTTGTAATTCCGAGCATTTGAAACTTGATATTATATCGCATACATCTGCGATAACTATACATTTTCCAGTCTCTCTCTTGGAGCATCTTTGTTCGGAAAATAATGTACGATTTTAGAATCAATTTCATGAGTAAATAAATGTATTTAAACTGTTTAATGTTTTGTTTAGGTTCAGTGACGTAGCTGGAGTAAACATCACCCGGGGAGGTCCGCTCAAATGTCACCCCAATGACCCCGATTCACCCTATGCTGAATGGTTAGCTGTAGCTAAATTTTCATACATGCTCTACCTCTACTTTACTCTACTGACCGGTACGTTACTGTTTACATGTATGATCCAAGACAAAATCCAATAGCACAAAATAATCAGTTCAAATCAAAAGATTTTTAAAATGCAACTGTTCACTTTCAGAACAACTAAATACAAAACACGGCAATACACAAAAGAATAACCTTCGACACTATGGTCTTAAAATGAATGTTTTCTTGTTTTTATTGTGGCAAACTGGTCAATGACATCGTCAAAATCTGTTTGTCTTGTAAGCTCGTTTTCAATGGACAGCACAGCCAGATCCGACAGTCACGACTGGCTCATTGTTGACGTAAAACGTAATTTTCTGTTGCTAATTTTCCGGTGTCCAATTTTCCGTTGTATTATTTTCTGGGTACCATTTAATTATCAATGATGTTTGAAAGTATTTTTCTTGACAAAAATGTTCTATTTAATCTAAGCATTTTTCGGAACATTGTAAATCAACTGCATTCTTTTAAAGGTTACCTAGAGAATTTATGCAAAGTTTATTTTTTTGTTTTTCTTTATACAAGTAAAATAATTTTACATTGTATTTTGATGTTATTATGATTTTAGTTTTAGTGATAATTTAAAAACAATAAAAATTTATCATTAGTACTAATAATAGAAAATTAAGTTAAAAATTTAAAAGAATCGTTTTTGGAATCGGAAAATAGGCACAAATTTTTCCGATTCCGATACCGTTTCCGATTAATCGTCCCAACACTAGTAGATATATTCAAAAGTATACCGCTCACTCAATGGCAAATTGTATCTCAGTGAATTGATGCAAGACTGAAATTGTTGCACTTTTGGCTTCGTATTTCGCTTTGTTGTTATTAATGATGCAGAGTTAAAACACCATATCATCCGATAAAATGTTACAACAATGTCTCTTGTTTGTAACCAAGATTGTAGCAACTGAAACACATGAAAGCTGAAAACATTGCTATTTCTACTACTCTGGAATTTCCCAACAATTTATTAGAAAATTTCTGACGGGGGGACAAAACTGGGGGTCATAAATTATTTCTGGGGGGTCATATGCCCGCCTGCGAAACCCTGTGTCTCCACCACTGTTTTCAGACTATTTTTTTGCAGCTTGAGTCTGGTTGAAAAAATTTTGTTGGGGTGACATTGTAATTACCCTTCTGTGCTGGCACCCGGGCGGTCCGCCCCCTCACCCCCCTTAGCTACGCTACTGTATAGGTTTTAAATTATTTGGAAAATAAAGTCCGATATTTGAATCAATTTATTTTCTGAATAAATCTATTCAATCTGTTAAAAGTTTTTTTACAATAATGTTCACCCTGTACAATGCCCAAGAGCCACTCGTGGTAAAGGGTTACAGAGTAAAAAGTAGAGTTTATGGGATTATCTAGAAAAGAGAACGGTTAGATTTGATTTGGGGAAGATAAAATGATAAGTGCAAAATTAAAACCCATTTTGATTGGATCATTTTTTTTTTATATTGCTATTATGGAACGGTCAACTTGAGTACGTAATGTATCTATGAATCAATAATAAAATGAAAAATTCCCAAATCTAAATTTAGACCAATCTATAGTAAACATATATTTCGTGACTGTACGGTATAA